TAATCTTGCATTGGAAGGTTATGGTTTTAAAAAAGAAATTATTTTATGAAACAAGATCTATTGTTTTGTTTTTGGTAAATACGTTGGTAAGTTCGGATAAGGGGTATAGTTGGTATTGGTTAAGTTGGCCTAAGTGTCCATGGTGAAAGACCAGAAACCTGCGCGGATACGTGTCGAGCCTTCCAGTTAATACTGGTAAAAATGACACATTATAGGTGTCGAGCATTCTAGTTAATACTAGTAAAAATGATAAATTACAGGTGTCGAGCCTTCCAGTTAATACTGGTAAAAATGACAATTTGGTAGTACTTGTATAGTCTACTTGCAAACACCAGCCTAGGGATTACCTGAGTCGTATTTACCATCTTGGAATTTTATTCGAATTGTTGGATTAATGAGTTTTCAAAATGGCATTGTGCGTAAGATTTTCAAAAGATGAGAAAAATATTTTGAGCATGACATGGCACATGCATTCATCTCATAAGACTGTATAAAATGGATTTGATGAATTGTTTAATTATTTGATTCAATTGATAATGAGATAATTGAATGAATTGAAAAGGATGTCCTGTTGCTATTGAAATTTATTTAAGTTAACTTGTTGTGGTTAATTAAATAAATTGGATTTAAGAGATTATGTAATAAAATCATATGGTTTTGACATGATATGATTTCATGTATATGTATGAGTATTATGGTACCCGCATATCTTCTAATGTTTTAATATGAGATTACTTGGTGGGTTAGTAGTTGTTCACCCCCTGCTTGTACATGTGTACAGGGAATGCTTTTCGGATTTGAAGATTAAACTGTTGGAAAAATGGTTTAATATAGGAAAATTTGAGTGGGCCTCAAACGTCTTTTGGGGTGGGTCTGAAGAGGTGACGTGTTCCTTGCCGTGTGGCAAGTCACACGGTGAAGACGGAATGTCAAAACCATTTATGAGTGAATGTGAAGTTGACGTCGTTTTCGGGTCTAACATTAATTTTTTAGATAAAATTCTTTTGAATTTTTTCAATAAAAATTATTAAGAGAATTTAATTTAATTCTAAAATTCAAATTTTGGATTCCTGAGTGGTTTCCTAAAATTTGTAATTGTAGAAATTTAATTTAATTCTAAATTCAAATTTTAGGTTCCTAAGTGGTTTCCTAAAGTTTGTACCTTTTCATTTATTTATTAAACTATTCAATTTGTTTAATATATATATAAATATATTAACTATATATATTCAAATGATTTAATATGTATATATATTCAAAATAGTTTATATAATAAAGATGCAACAGTTTGAAAGATTTGCTCTAACGGACAAAATTTCAAATTTTCCACTAGCGGACAAATTGTTTGAATATTGGTATTCAAATGTGCTTACAGTAAGAACCTCTTTTTGAGTTCAAACTCTTTTGTGCCGGTTCTGTCTAAACAGCACCTGTTCGGGCTGTGGATAATTTTTGCCTATAAATAGAGCCATATTCCAGCAGTCTAGGGAATCCCAAAAATCAGTCTGAAATATTATTTGCTGTCCAGTTTGTTATCTTTGGTGTATTAGTGCATTAATCTTCATTTTTTAGGAATAAATAATTTCAGAGAGTTAGAACATAGGTTTGGTTTGCCGAACAAATTGTTTGGAGTACTACTACAATTTGTGAAGATCATTGTATCCTGGGAGATAGACGCCGCTTAACCGTAAGTACCGTAGCGGGGCGAATCTGTCTTAAGGACAGAGTGTCACACACTCGATTTGGTCTTGAATTATTTATTCGGCTCAACGAAATAAATTCTGTAAGATTTATTTATTTTTGTTTGTTTATTTCTAGTTATTTTATTTACACAGAAGATTATTCCAACAATCTTAAGACAGATTCAAATTATTCTGTTTACAGAATTATTCTGTTTACAGAATTTTTCGTTTGTTTCCTTTTTTTTTTTTTCCATTCTTCGTAAATAATTTTGGAAGAAAATTATTTTCTGTGGATTTACAAAATAATATTCTGGTTGGAAAAACAAATAGTGATTATATGCTATTTGACAGATAGTAGTAATATACTGTCTCTTTTCTTTGACAACAACTAGTAGTACGATACTGGTGTCATTAACAATTCAGAATATATTTTTGTGAAATTTTTTCAGAAATTAATTTTGGGTTTTAGAAATTATTTTCTGAGTTTTCATTAATTAAAATTCTGTTTTCAGTATTTTAATTATTTAAGTGTTACTGAAATTAATTTTCTGTGTGGAATTAATTTGGTTAAATAAAATTTTATTTTATTTCCAAATTAATGGAAAAATAAAAGTTATTTTCTTATTTCTTTTATTTTACAGAATTTAATTTCTTGTGTGGAATTATTTTGGTTAAATAAAATTTTATTTTATTTCCAAATTAATGGAAAAATAAAAGTTATTTTCTTATTTCTTTTATTTTACAGAATTTAATTTCTTGTGTGGAATTATTTTGGTTAAATAAAATTTTATTTTATTTCCAAATTAATGGAAAAATAAAAGTTATTTTCTTATTTCTTTTATTTTACAGAATTTAATTTCTTGTGTGGAATTATTTTGGTTAAATAAAATTTTATTTTATTTCCAAATTAATGGAAAAATAAAAGTTATTTTCTTATTTCTTTTATTTTACAGAATTTAATTTCTTGTGTGGAATTATTTTGGTTAAATAAAATTTTATTTTATTTCCAAATTAATGGAAAAATAAAAGTTATTTTCTTATTTCTTTTATTTTACAGAATTTAATTTCTTGTGTGGAATTATTTTGGTTAAATAAAATTTTATTTTATTTCCAAATTAATGGAAAAATAAAAGTTATTTTCTTATTTCTTTTATTTTACAGAATTTAATTTCTTGTGTGGAATTATTTTGGTTAAATAAAATTTTATTTTATTTCCAAATTAATGGAAAAATAAAAGTTATTTTCTTATTTCTTTTATTTTACAGAATTTAATTTCTTGTGTGGAATTATTTTGGTTAAATAAAATTTTATTTTATTTCCAAATTAATGGAAAAATAAAAGTTATTTTCTTATTTCTTTTATTTTACAGAATTTAATTTCTTGTGTGGAATTATTTTGGTTAAATAAAATTTTATTTTATTTCCAAATTAATGGAAAAATAAAAGTTATTTTCTTATTTCTTTTATTTTACAGAATTTAATTTCTTGTGTGGAATTATTTTGGTTAAATAAAATTTTATTTTATTTCCAAATTAATTGAAAAATAAAAGTTACATTCTTGTTTCTTTTATTTTTACAGAATTTAATTCTGTGAATTTGGTTTAATTTTCTAT